AGCGAGATGGGCGGGCCGTAGTAGCCAACTGGAAGTGCCTTTTAGGTAATCTCTGGCGCCGAAGGACTGGGTCCAGAAGTCTGCGAAATCGGCAGCTTCGGCTTCTCATCAGTGTACAGTCTTTGAGGCGGCCAGGACAACCGGGGCCTTCATTTGCGAACCACTGCCACGCTGATGAATAGGTATTTTAAGAGGAAAGAGTGGAGAGGCTGTCCCCATAATGATTGTTGTTTGGGTAAATGAACCGCGTGGCTCAGAAGCAGCTCTTGTGACGGGCAAGGGAGCCGCAGGCTGCGAGGATTCTGGGGACTGTAGTTTTAGCGTAATTCGTTGGCGGATGATTGAATGGACGAGCGAGGTCCCCACTGGTCCTTAACCCCAGAGCGTCTTTTCCTGCTCGATAAGGAGGATCAGGAAAGGCTGGGCCAAGCGTTATTCCGAGGTAGAGTTTGGCTGGCAGGGCTTTGGGCCCGGTGGTGGGTACGGGGCTGTGTCCTGGTCGTTCATCGCCTACCGGTTCCGGATCTCCCATTTTGGAGAAGGGGGTGCGGCCGAAGACGTGCACTGGAGCAAGGAAATTGGGTGACACACAGCCTTAAATCCTGGAGTTAAAAGGCTCTAGGTGGAACTTCCGTGCCCCGGTTGGGGCTGGAGCGAGAGTAACCTTGAACTTCGCATTCTTTTTTGAAGGGGGTGGCATTGGTCTGGGAGGAACGATTCCAGAATGGAAAGGGTTGCTCTGGTCTTGCCTTCGCGGGGTTATTTGGGTTTTAGAGATGCGGTCAGCCAACCGCAAATAGACTAACACATCCTGTTGGTGGGGGCGCGGCTGGGGTTGTAAAACCTGAGTAGACTGAGGCTCTGTCATTGTTAGAGGAGGGTGGGAGAGGACAGGATCTCTACGGAAGATACGGGGGGTTAGTACACTCAATGAAGGATCCTGCAGCACGAAGTAATTTCTCCCACCTGTCCTGGATGCATGGAAGCAAGATGGACTTTTATAATTGAGATTTGAATAAAATAGACCTGGGAGCAGAAATCCATCTTGAAATGAAAGAACTTCCAGCTGGCCCTGTGGCAGAATTTCAAGACAGTCACTGAACTGACTCTGGGACCATTACGTTTCTTGATCTTTGTACCCAGGGAGAGCAGGACTGGAAGAAGACGTTGGCTTTAAAGAACAGGGAAATATAGAGACCATGAAGAAACTGACTCAAAAACATGAGGCAAACGGTGAGAGTTAGTTCTTGAGGGTCTGGAGAGGTGAAGAGGGGGTTCAAGGCTCTAGATGCAGGTGAGAATGCTTTGGTGGCCACAGCTGAGTGAAGGGCTTGGAAGAGCTACTCTGAGAGGTCTGGTTCTCACAGATTGTCTGTCTTCCCTCAGGTTCATCTTCTAAGAATACAGAATGGCCCCAAAAGGAGAAAAGGATTCCAAAAATATTGGTGAGGTGGAATGAAAACCTTATTTTTCTGAAATGTTGGCTCATTTCCCAGAGAATAGGCATCCTGTATGTTCTCTGTCCTGGGAAGGGAGAAGTGGTCATCATTTAGTTATTTCATGCTTTCGTGCCAAGTATCGTGTTGGGCATTTCAGAATGGTTTCTGTATTATTTTATTTTTCTTGTTGAGAAATATACCCAAGGTCAAAAATCCAGGAAATTCTTAAGAGAAGGGACTATTTTTGTAAAACTGAGATTATTAAAATTTTTAAATATATCATTAAATTTCACTGCACATCCACATGTATATATGTAGTGATACCATCTTGTATACTGGACATCTTTTTATTTTGTAATTATCCAACTTTTTAAACATATAGAAATGGACAGCATAGTAAAAATACATTCTCTAGTACTAGCGTGTTGTTGTTGTTGTTTGTTGTTATGTGCCGTCGAGTCGGCCCCGACTCATAGCGACCCCTCCTTGGGTTTCCGAGGCAGTATCACTACGGAAGTAGGATTGCCCAACCTTCCTTCCAAGGAGTGGCTGGTGGGTTTGAACCGCCAGCCTTCTGGTGAGCAGTCAAGTGCTTTTAGCCACTATGCTTAGCTTCAAGAATTATCTATTGTGGCCAGTCTAATTTACAGGAATATGATATTGTGTCAATAAATCTCAGAATACCAATTATATCAAAATACCACTTTGCTACATCTCTGTTCAGTTCTGACACGAGCTGCCCACACAGTACTTCTTTCTCAGACCCTAGCCACCTGGCACTAAGTCAGCTCTCACCACTTAAAAGGATGCTCTTCCTCAGACTGCCAAATAGGCAAATTCTAACCATAAGTTTGAGGGTCCACATGACAACCTCACTTCTGACCTGCAGGCTACAAGTGTGGGGTGTTCCTTATCCTTTTGGGATGCCAGCCACAAGCTTTGAAGCCCACCCTAGACTCCCTTCTTTCTGACCTGTTGGCTACAACATCAGGGTTTTTCTTTGTTCCTTCAGGATGCCAGCTGCAAGCTCGGGCGTCCCCACCTTCGCTCCCTCACTTCCGACCTGTTGACAACTGCTACTGCTTTGGGTTGGTAATTCAGTACAATGCCTCCCAGAACTCACGGAAGTGCTGCACTGATGATTACAGCTTTGTCCCAGCAAAAAAGCACATAAGTAAAGAGATCTATGGGTCTACTTCTGCGGTGATACCGCCTCAGAAACCCAAGGAGGGGTCGCTATGAGGCCAACTCGACGGCACGTAACAACAACATAGGTAGCATCTGGGAGGGTTTCCAGGGCAGAGCGTCCATGTCCCAAAAAAGGACGTGCTGCCATCCTTGTGCATTGATGTTTTTCACCAACTGGGCACTAATGGGGCTTCTGTGTCCAGTTCTTTTGTTGACTTCATTCATAGTCATTCATTCATAGCATGATTGATTAGATCAGCCCTGCTCCCTTTAATGAAGTCAGTTGGACTTTGAAAGAAGTGATGTGATTTGATCCTGGTTTTGATGCATATCCTTATGCATGTAGTGATCTGTGAACTGAAGTAGCAGAACAGTTTGTACTTTATACAGTTACTCACAGTGAATGGACCATGGCTACTGAAATTTGAACCATTTTGTTGGATGACTGGGGTTACTTAACTATGTTGTTGTTGTTATGTGCCCTTGAGTCAGCCTAACTCATAGCAACCCCTCCTTGGGTTTCTGAGGTGGTATCACTATGGAAGTAGATTGCCCAACCTTCCTTCTGAGTGGCTGGTGGGTTTGAACCACCAGCCTTCTGGTTAGCAGTCAAATGCCTTAGGTACTATGCTACCAGAGCTCCCTACTTAACTGTGGTAACTGCAATTTGTGTATGTTAGAACTGTGAAAAGTGAAGACTTCCTGTTTTTAAAGTGGATGAATTACAAACAAAATGAGTTTGAAATTATAGCTCAATAAAATATGTCTAGGGTCTCTAGTGATGCAGTGATGAAGCACTCTCCTGCTAACTGAAAGATTGGTGGTTCAAACCTACCAGCTGCTCCGTGGAAGAAAGACGTGGCAGTGGGCTTCTGTAAAGTTTACAGCTTTGGAAACCCTTTGTGGCAGTTCTGCTCTGACATATAGTGTTGCTATGAGTTGGTGCTGACTCAGCAGCAAAGGGTTAAACTGGTTTTGTTCTCCCATTTTGGAAAAGGAGGTGCGGCTGAAGATGAAATGAAATGATCTGTACATATCCTTTTTTTTTTTTTTCTTGTGATCTGGATGCAAATTTACAAAGCAGATTCGTTTTACTCTCAATAGTTCATGCACATCTGGTTTCATGGCTCTGATTACAATTCTAACAATAAAAAGCTCTCCTCCCATCTTCTCGCTATGACCACCCCTTCCCTATGACCTTCTTAGGTATGCATTCCTGTCTATTCTGCTTTCCCTCTGTGCAAATACTGACCTTCTGATGTTTCCTGGTTGATTAATCCAAGGGATGCATTGCCCTAGGTCAGGTGGGTGCATCTCCCTGGGGTAAGTTTTCCGCTCGCAGGACTTTCTACCATGTGGTTGAAAGCTAATCCACGGAAGTGAGTCCAGTTCCAGGCCTGAAGGATAACCTGAGGCCGGAGTCTTGGGGGTTCTACCATTCTCTATCCAATCAGTTATTCTGGTCATTTTTGTCTTTTTGAATTTTGTTGCATATTTTTCCTCCCACTCTGTCCAGGATCTCCAATTTTGATCCCTTTCCGAGTGGTTGGCATTGGTAGCTGGACACCATCTAGTTAGTTCTTCTGGTCTCAGGGTCACAAAGGCTGAGGTCCTGATGGTCCATCATATCCTTGGACTAATTGTTTACAATTGTTTGATTTTCTTCACTCTTATTGGCTCCAGATGAGGGAAGACCAGTAGTTGTGTCTTAGATGGCCACTTGAAAGGTTTTAGGACCCCAGTCGCTACTCACCAAAGTAGAATGTAGAACAAGATTTTTATGTACTGTGTTGTGTAAATTAAGCTTGATGTCCCCCAAGACCATGGTCCCAAGCCCACAGGCTTGGTGACATTCTCCCTCAAGGTTTGGTTGCCACTGAGAAGCTACTCCAACCTTGTCCCCTGTTACTCCTGTAACATATATGGATATTTTTGTAGCACAAATATGTATGTAAGATTATCTTCAGCCAAATCTATCCTTGGTCATGGGTATATTTCTTTTCACGTAACCACCAGCCACTCCTCAGAAGGAAGATGGGGCAGTCTACTTCGGTAGTGATACTGCCTCGGAAACCCAAGGAGGGGTTGCTATGAGTCGGGTCTGACTCGACGGCATATAACAACAACCACCACCAGATCTGATCTTCTCTATGCATTTACTCATAGAATAGTGTTTGCTGCTACTGGTAATGCAGTATTGTGCATATAATAGTATTTGTCTCTGTTGTCTGTCTTCTGTGTATGTTTCTGTGTCCTCCTTTTCCCTATTGTCATTGTGCTGGTCACACACTTACGTTATATTGCCTTTCCCTTCACCCAAATAAACACATGATTCTTAACTAGTCAGAATTTCCCCTCTCCTTCCCTCCTGTTCCTGGTAACCAACAAAGTAAATTTCCTTCTCTGCACAAACCTTTCCTTGACATTTATAATAATGGACTCATACAATATTTGTCCTTCTGTGATTGCCTTATTTCACTCAGCATACTGTCCTCCAAACTCATCCACGTTATGAGGTGATTTGAAGATTCTTCATTATTCTTTGATGTTGCATAGTATTCCATTCTGTGCATGTACCATAGTTTGGTTACCCATTCATCTGTTGATGAGTGCTTAGGTTTCCATCTCTTTGCTAGAGTCAGTTGTGCTGCAGTGAACATGGGTGTGCATATGTCTGTTTGTGTCCTGGATCTCACCTCTTTATGATATATTCATAGTAATGGAATTGCTGGATCAAATGATAATTCTATTTTAATTTTTTAAGGAAATGCCATACCGTTTTCCACAGTGGCTGTACCATTTTACAGTCCCCAACAGTGTAGGGGAGTTCTAATCTTTCTACACCCTCATCAGCCTTTGTTATTTTCTGCCTTCTTGAACTTTCCTATTATTACTGGGGTGAGATGATACCTCGTTGTTTTGATTTGCATCTCTCACTCTGGTAGTGTAGTGCCAAAGGCACTTGATTGTGAACCAGAAGGCTGGCGGTTCAAACCCACCAGCCACTCCTCAGAAGGAAGATGGGGCAATCTACTTCCGTAATGATGCTGCCTCGGAAACCCAAGGAGGGGTCACTATGAGTCGGGTCTGACTCGATGGCACATAACAACAACAACAATAACAATGGCTAATGTAACGTTTCCTCATGTGTTTGGTGGCCACCTGTATTTCTTTAGTGAAGTATCTGTTCATGTCCTTTGCTCATTTTTTATTTTTATTTTTATTTATTTATTTTTTTTGGTGTTGAGGTGGTGAAGTTTTCTATAAATTTTAGAGACAAGACCCTTGTCAGACATGCCATAGCCAAATATTTTTTTCCCAATATGTAAGTTCTCTCTTTACCCTTTTGGAGAAGTCTTTTGATGCACATAAGAATTTAATTTTTAAAAGGTCCCAGTCATCTAGTGTCTCTTCTGCTGCATATGTATTTTGAGTTATGCTTGATAGTCTATTTATGCCATATATTAGGGCCCCTAACTTTGCTCCTGTTTTATCTTTCATGAACTTCATTGTTTTGGGTTTTACATTTATGTTTTTGATCCATCTTGAGTTCGTTTTGTGTATGGTGTGAGGTATGGCTCTTGTTTCATTTTTCTGCAAGTGGATATCCAATTTTGCCAGCATCATTTGTTAAAGAGGCTGTCTCTCCCTATTTAATGGGTTTTGACCTTTTGTCAAAGATTAGCTGCCCATAGATGGATGGATCTATTTCTGGGTTCTCAATTCTGTTCCACTGGTCTATTTGTCATTTTACCAATACCAGGCTGTTTGATTACTGTGGCTGTATAGTAATTTTTGAGATCAGGGAGTGTGAGACTTTCTATTTTGATTTTCTTCTTCAGTAGTGCTTTGCTTATCTGAGGTCTCTTTCCTTTCCATATAACCTTAGTGATTGGTTTTTTCATGTCCTTAAAGAATGTTGATGGAAGCTCAATTGGCATACATAGTACACAAAACATTGCTCCACCTCCTACTTTGGCAAGTAGCCACTGGGGTCTTAAAAGCTTGCAAGCTGCCATCTAGATGCAACGATGGGTCTCTCCTTGTCCAGAGCAAAGAAGAATGAAGAAAACCAAAAATTAATGGATACAAT